TTCGGAGGCGTTGGCAATGCCTTCGCAGGAACTTCCGGCGGGAACTTCGGCGGCGCCTCTGGCTCGACCTTCGGCGGCGCCTCTGGAGGGAACTTCGGCGGCGCCTCTGGAGGGAACTTCGGCGGTGCCACTGGAGGCAGTTTTGGGGTGGTGTGGAGGTGTTGGAGGCACTTCGGGAGGTTTCGCGAGCGGCGGCGGCGTGGCTGCTGGCTCGGCGGGAAACGTCTTTAACTTCGGCGGGAACGGCGGTGCTGGAGCGCCGGAGTAGTGGCCGGAGGCGTCAGCGGCGCTGCCTTGTGCCCGGCCGTGACGAAGCCAGCCATCACCGAAGTGACTCTGACGCAGTTCTCGACCGAGTACGTGACGGTGCCGCAGCCCATCACGTCCGTCGTGTTCAACACGGTCCCCTTCCACAAGACCTTGTTCGTCACCGCCACGACCCTCGCGACCGTCACCGAGCCCGCCCAGACCGGCTTCTGCACCACCACCCAGGTCGTGTTCAGCACCGAGGCCGTGAAGCAGGCCAAGATCGTCACCGTGACCAACCCCCAGACCGTGACCAACGTCGTGCAGGACACCAAGACCGTCACCAACACCCTGACCCGCACCGACCTGACCACGCTCGTCCGCACGCAGACCCAGCAGGTGTGGGAGACCGTCGTGTCCACCCACTACACGACCCACACCGTCGCCACCTGGCAGTACGTCACGGACACCGTCACAGCCACCTACGACGTCTGGACCAAGACGGTAAGCGAAGGATACTTATTTCCGTCTTAAAACATCTATGAACTCCTCACCACGAATGACTGACGCACCCTTCGCACACTGCTTCATTCCATCTTATATCCACATTTATTCATTTCTCTCCTTCAGATTAAGCCCGTCGCTCAGGCCATCTGGGTCTCTACAACCGAACTGGTCTGGAACCCCGTCACCGTTACCACAACCATGAGCAAGACCGCGTACAAGACTGTATGGCAACAGTGTGGCGGATACTAGACGATACATTTAAACACAGCCCGAGAGAAGCAGGTAAATAATATGTCATGTTTTATATTATGAGTATTACACGTGTATTCTTAACAACGTCAAATAGCCTTTCTACTGTATCTTTCTGTACACGTTACTATTTTCGTGTCCATAATTAACCCTCAGTTTATGAAATCAAGAAGAGGAATGTCGTGCCAACAGTAAATAACATAAATTATCGCTCTATCCCCAGACATGACTAGTGCTTGGCGGCTCCTTCTTCGCGTCTCCTGCTCTCGGAACATCTTTTCTCAGATTTTCAAGACTTCGAGTCGTTTTCGATCACACGGCCTCTTTCCTCCAGCAGGGGGGCGGCTGTCTGTCCCCGACTTCAAGTGTTGAGTGTAGTGAATATGGTTGCTAGTGCAAAATATTCATCGAAGGTCTATGGAGACTATTAAGTTAATCGGACTGACTGTAAGATGTTTTTAGGTTCTCTTCTCGACACAAGAGATGAAACAAATGATTAACCTTGGAAAATATGTTAGAAAGTCAGTCACTTTGTTCAATTTCATTTCTTCATTTGTTGATAAATGTTGCGGTGAACATGGCCCAGTAACATGTTTATTTCTGTTCTATACTTTATGAATATGTACAACTTGTAAATATTGTAAACAACTACGCTTTCTGAAAATGTATATATACACACAAATAAATATAAGTATTGCGACCTAGTATTTCACTCGCTTTCCTTAATTATAGTCAAGAAAATAGTTTAGTAAAGAAAACAATAATTTATTTTTTATTTTGTATCAGTAAGAAGTTTAACTGTGTAACTGTATACTACTAAATATATCTTCATTCACTGTACAATGAGTAATACAACTTTACTGTGTTACTGTTTACGTTTAATTAGATATTAATATAGTTATGTGCAGTTTCAAAATGTTCAAGACAAAACACACTTGTTAACAATAACAAAACTAAATAGAATTTTAATACATAAAAGATATGCATGAAGTTTATGCTAAACATGCCAGTCTTTTTTGCAAAATGTATAATGCGCATTTCTAATTTTATTTCGTATATACGAATGGTTATGGTGTGTAATTAATAAACATATTTCCTAGCCATACTCTATGGTTTAAAAGTTTTTTCATTATGTGTCTCTTGTCGTCTAGGAGTTAGGGGTTTTGTTCTATTGTTCTGTAGACTTGTAGAAGAAAAGGCAAGTGCTGGGTTAGCCAGTAGGTAGTATGAGCCTGTGATAAGGGAACCACAGGAGACACAGTACCATAGTTATAACTGTCACATTTCAGAGAATGGCAGATTCATAAAAAACACAAGCATTACATTCTCAGAGCAGTGTATATGTACCATTCATACTTTAAATCTTTATATCCAACTTTGGGGTCTTGTCCTGTGATATCATCTGTCATCTAAGTTAAACTGGAAGACACCATTGGAAGGGTGAAGGAGCTCTGTTAAGAGAGCCTAGAGCACACTATTAGAAGGCCGAGGGAGCATCAATAGGAGGACTGAAAGGATACCAAGGAAAGAGCTCGGTGGGCTCCTTGGGAAAGGCAAAGGCGCTCGTCTGTGTAATAGTATAACTTATATTATTCTTACAGTGATGAGCAACTATTTATTCTCAGTAGCTGTCGAACACAATTCAGATGTAAATGAAGATGAGAAGAGTATTAGAGGATATACATTTGCTGGAAAAATATCATGCTTTATTAGTACCTATAGTGTTATAAGTGTTGTTTCATCTTCTTCCGTAACTTTTTATTTTCACCGACTCCTTATTTTCTGTTAGGTAACTGAAGCACGCTCGTAACTTATTTGTACAACCAAAATATCATGTGTAATGTTTGTCAAACAACTTCACCCATTAATAGAGCAATCAAGTTTGGACTGATTAAACTAAACTTGGTCTCACAAAGGCCTATATAGTTAAGAGGTAATTTCAAAAGTTGTAGGTTATGATGTTTGATTTATTACATCTTTTATATCCTTTTTTTTCTTTTTGATAACCTTTTCACCTTCATCTTTTCTTTCTCCTAGTTTTGAGCTTTTTAAACAACAAATTTTCTTCCTTTTAAATTAATCTGTTTTCTCCTGGCTTTCTGCCATATGTCCACCAACATTTGAAGTAGTATTTACAAACACAAATAGAATCTCAGGAGAATGAAACCCACCACTGCTTGGCAAAGATTTATTTCCAACACCAGCACACATATGCACACTTGGCATTTGCGTCAGTCAGTTGGTCCCAGAGAACTACATCTCTGATTCAGTGATTGTCAGCACTAAAAAAAAATCACTTCCAGTAATTAGGAATCTGTCCATTAGTTTTATATGACTGATGAAAAATTCTAATACTAATATATATGTGTGTATGTAGTCACATACTCGGCTGTGAAGTTAGACAATGGCTTAGCTTCTGTCACAGTGGATGTAAGAAACCCATTTGTCAAAGTCCAACATTTAAGACACCTGGTATTTCAGCACTAAAACAGACTTCCTTTTAATGAAAATGTTGCTATTCTAAAGCTGTGTCATTTCCACCAAACATAAGCAGTTACTTATAAGGGATCATTATATGCAAGTCTAGCCCGACTCGAGGGATGTCTACTATTTCTCAAACGGCAGAGGTTTAATAGATTTTCAAGTCCTCAAGAACAGTAACAGAATACCATTATACTTCAACTGATTAACATGAGTTTGAAGTTGCTATCTATGATAATAATAATAACAAATGATGAAATCTTGTGGTTACACTGATACATCTAAATAAATAATACTGTACCAAGAGACTTCTTAAAACACAATATACAATCCTTATTATTCAGCATATATGACTATTCAATACAAGAAATGTTTCTATAAAACATGTAACTATTTTGAAACTATATACATTTCAAATTACAACAGCCATATACAACAATGTACAGAAATGGAATACGTTATAGCAAAAAGTATAAAAAATCTAATATTATAACCAAGGTATACAGTAACATATACAGTCCTTAATTTCTGTAGTTTTACATATTGAAGAAAAAAAAAAAACAAAGAAAATGAAAAGGGGACAATGTACTAAAGCAGTTCTATCCATGTGAAGGACACACACTCACAAGATTTTTTTTAAAGGGTACAATAAGTAACACAATCACAATACTAAGACAATAATATGAGATGATAAAACATACAAGAAAACACCAAATATCCTCAAGTCACAAACTCAAAGAGAACAAAACAAAATAAAAATAATAATGATGATAATGACAGAAAGAAAAAAAAAACATGAAACATACAAAAGATTCTAGTTGCTTGTAAAGTATATCATCTCTACTGGAACATTTCTCCAACGGATGCTACTCCTTTCATTTTAGTTTTGTTCTTTGGGACAGTTTGTTATCAGATCTGACAGTAATGGAAGAATTAAAGCAAATAAAGAGAAATCTGCTAGATCAAACAGACATTATTACAGGACAGTTGTATAAGAGAAACATATCTTAAGATTGTGTCAAGCAATTTGTTCTGCTTTGAAACCTTTGGCAATCACTTTTTGAAGCAGACAGTGTACTTCAAAATTTTGATAGGAAAATTTCTTGAAATCCTTCTGACTTTGCAATACTAACTGACTTAGAGTTTCTGCTTGCATTTTCATACACCTGACTTGACAGATTATGGATTCAAGTCCTCTTGTTGGTGAAGTACAAGCAACAGAGTTTCAAGGAATTCTCATGGTGTGTAAGATATTCTTAACTGCTAATGAGTAATGTTCATGAAAATGAAATAAAAATAATGCACATTAACAATCATAAGCAATCTGGAAGACTGTCATAAAATATATACACATCTTATATATAATGTAAGCATTAAAAGAAAAATTGTATATTTTACAGAATCACAATGGCACACAACATATTTTCAGATTTTTTATAATATCTGTAGAAAAAGTCTGCAGATGCAATCTACAGTAAAAAAAAATAAAATAAAATAAGAGACTTGCGTGATATGCCTCCACCTATTCTATCCGTGAATAGGCACAGCAGCATACCCCCACAATCGTAATATTCTTCGTGTAATCTGAGCAAAAAGTAAAGCTTCATTTAGCTAAGTAGTTATATGCAGACTGTGTTCAGAACACATAGATCTCCATCCTGTTATGTTATAGAAAATAATAACACACAGAACAATACTGTGATTCATTTCTCCTCTTTAGAATCACATCTTCATATGCCTCAGAGTGCTGTTTTAACAAGTGCCATCAATAAAATTCAAACTATATGAATATAACATGCTACAACATTATCTACAGTTAAGCAATCTTGTAGTCATTACTGCCCAGTCCCTGCCCATTTTCAGTTCAGCTTCATCTTATTGTATTCTTGCCTTCAGTAGTATCCACACTATGCAAAATATGGACTACAGCTTCAACATAAAATATCTCTAACATTTTACAGCATCAACGTAAGATATTAATTTACCAAGATCATTACCGTTCAGCAGAATGTTTTCCTTTCCATATCTCTTCTCTTCTACAAAAAGGCAGGGACTATAAAAAAATATATAAGTTAAGCAAAGCTTTCCTCACACGTCAGATATTGGTGTGGGCACTGGACTACATTTGTGGCAAGAGCTGAGCACTCTGGGCATGGCTGCCATCAATCGATTTCCTCAACATACGTCGCAGGGAATATACCGACAACACTATCCAGCTCACCGACCCACCAACCATCGGGCTGTTTATCATGGATGTTGATTATATCACCTGTGGAGATAAAAGAAATGTATAAATACACAGTCTTAAGAATAGTGCACCATCTCTATAAGTGTCTTTCACTTAAAAGAAATTTGGATTTCTCTCAACAAAATATGAACTACCCTTCCATACATGTTTCAGATCATCACCACAAAAAAAATTCCAGCTACGCCTAGAACAAAATTCAACTGACCTGTTCTGATGGTGAGCTCATCATACATATTGGCCTCATAGTCATAGAGCGCCTTGCACCTTCCAACTGTTGGCACAGATTCAAGAGGACGAGCATAATAGGTGCCGTCCTTGATCCCTGAGTCTAAATTGTCCTCTGTTACGGCGGTCTGGTAGTCTCGGTCTGAGCCCTGGGAGCTGAACTCGTCTGCAATGATCATGAGGGAAGGGTAACGGGGTGGCGACATAAACACATGGGGGACTTTTGACGGCTTGGGTGTTGTTCCCGAGGGTGCTTTGTTCTCTTTTTCCTCATTAGGTTCAGCGGTGGTTGCTGTTGCCGATGCTTTAGTTCTTACAGGGGGTGTAGGAATGAGGGAGTCTATGCGAGGTGGTACTGGTTTCTCTACTATGGGTTCTACAGTTTGGAATGTGTAAGTATATCAAGGAATTAAATACATGAGATTTTTTCAAATAAAGAAGGGCAGGTACAGAAGACAAAGAGGATAACATTAGTCAACATAGTGGGAAGTTAGCACACAAAGCACAAAGCAAGGAGAGGAAAAATATATATTAGTCTTCCTCATAATTTTGGAGAACTAATATCAAATTCGCTCATATTTCAAAGAAACACAACAATACAGCTTACCAAGAGAATTTACAAGACATGGAAAAAAATATATGAAATTCCATTCTACCAAAAATGAAGTTTCACCGATGATTTATGGATAGAAAAAATCATTTTCTTGGTTACTTTTCTTTAATCATACATCTGCATGAACATAAACTTACCAAAATCTGAATCTGGCTGAACTGAAGTACCATCGGCAGTGCCTCTGTCATTCCAATTGGGAGAACCTGTTGGTGAGTCGCTAGCCGGAGAGACGTCTACACTGTTCCCTCGTACCCATGGTGGAACCTGTGGAAATTGGGGCATAAAGAATTCTAAAATAATGGTAAAAATTAAGTGGAAAGATCTCAAAAGAACTACAGTCTCAACCTCAAAAGAGGTAGCCACCTCCCTGTGTACTAGGAATAGATGGGGTCCTTAGTTTTTGATACATTTCAAGCAAAAAAAATTCAGTACTTCTTACTTTTTATATTCTCATCATTATTAAAGACATTCCTAATCAAACAAATACACTTACACCAAAAATCTCTTTCACTCATACGCCTTGTCTATTACACTAACCTTCAAAACTGAGAAGTTGAGGCCCTGTTTGTCTCTATGGACTTCTATGTGTTTGGCCAAGGGATGGGTCATCCTGGGCCTGTTGTTGAGCTCATCCAGGGAACACTGAACTTTGTATCGTGCAGCTTCCAAGTACGCCAACATAGCCTTCATCTGTTGGGGATGGAATACACTCAGAAAAGGCTGGCAATGTCTTTGAGAAAAAGATAGTAAAATATGGCACAAGAAGTGTATTTCAGAGGAGGAGATTTAGTGCCTGGATCAAGGCACATAATGCGAGAAATACTGTGTCAGTAAAAGCCTAAGATAGACAAGAGAAGAAATCAAGAAAAGAACAGCAAGGGAGAAAATAAAACTAAATAAATTAAAACATCAGAGTGAAAGGAAAGAGAAAAAGCTATTAGCATGGTAATTGGAACAGAAGGTGACAAGCCTGAATGTAAATGAGTCAAATACTGATAACCATTATCAACTGAAAACTCTACTCCTGTATTAGTTGCAAGCGCTACCCTTGTGACAAAAAACTTACATGTTGCAGCCTGTTGTAGGCATCCTGTTGAGATTAAAAAGTATATGGATCTTTGGATTTTACTTTGTAAGAAAAATGAAAAATGCCATTCATCGATGATGAAGAAAAAAGAAAAAAGGAAATCATGACACATGACTCTTCCAGTGTAATATCCTTTTTTAATTTGTCATAAACCATCCATGTTAGGGATAGTCAAAGACAGGTACTGTGAGCTCTATGTGCACTTACATGCTGCAGCTTATCATTAACATCTTGCTGAGATTCTTCACCCCCAAAGGTAGGTGTTTCTTGTAGTGCCTTTGCCAAGTTCTCAACGCCTTGCTTTCCTCGTCTCTCTCGCTCCAGATCAGTTTTCAGCATTTGTATGAACTTCTCCAGAGCCTGAAATTAACGAAATATCTTGTTACAAATGTATAGTACAGATTATAACAGTGTGGAGCATGAAAAGGTAAAAAAAACTACAACAATCAAGATGAATAGATCCAAACAAATATTGTAAAGCTCAGCAACTTCCCTCATATCAACATACTGGGTATTCTGATTAAACTATTCTGAATGGGAAGACCTATATCATGTAAAAACTAACCTCTTTTCTTCTTTCTCTGTTCATGATATTGTTCATATCTTCAGCATAGAAGTCAGGCAGCATTTGTTCTGGGATATTTTCTCCAGTTCCCTTGGCAGATATCACAGTCTGTATATCTTTTTCTACATCGCATGCAGCTACAGGGTCATCAAGACGGCTTGCAATCTGTCAAAAGATCAAGAACAACACAATTATAAAAATATATGTGCCTGGAAAGATTGGGAAACCTCTTCAGTTACATGGTACAAAAAAGAAGAAATAGAAGAAGAAGTGCAAATATAAAAATCTCCACTTCATCTAGTTATATGTGATCATGGAAAATAAATGGAAATCTTAACATCAAGTATGATATAAAATCTGAAAATCCATAAATTACTCACAGCAACTAGTTTCGGGGCAGCTTCCTTTGCATTCTTATGGTACTTTACAACAAGGTCCTTCAGTGCTTGTAAACGTTCCTCTTCTAAAGTCTGGAAACAGTTGCTGCCTTTGTAAATTGCAGACTCCCATTCAAGTCTGCAAAGAAGAGTATTGGTAAATACAGTATCTTAAAGCACATTCTGGATAAACACTTCAGACTACAGCTATATACACTCCAGTTTCATAGGCTATCACATTAATTCTATGTGATTTACTATACTCTTCACTCCACAAATAGAATCAAGTATAGACAAAAATGTTAAAAGCAAGTTATCCATTCAAAAAAACAACGAAATGACAAACTACCTGGCTCGTTCTGTGCGGATGCAACATGTGTAATACTCCAGGTCACTCTTCTGGACTGCCTCTTCGGCTTTTCGTCTTTGCTTCTCCACCTAAGAAGAAGAAAAGGAAGATGTTATACTTATCATATGGTAGTTCCATGAAAAAGGTCCAATACATGATTACAAAAAGATCTGATCTCAAAAGAAAGAAAGAAAAAAATACTAATACTTGAGATGTAACAACTACAAAGATGACCTGTGTCAAAAGAATGACAATACGAAAAAATATAAAAGTACCAAGGACTGTCTACACACCTTCAAAGCCTCCTTTTCTGATAGGGTTTTGCCTCGGCCCAATCTCGCTTCGAGCATCATGTCCTGAATCTTCTCATTTTCTCGGCAGTTCCCATAACACTGTTTCTTGGACTTGGTTTCTGCTGCTCGCCAGTCATGCAGATTCTTGGTGGTTTTGTCGACCATGCTTTCTACTCCTTTACGGATCTTGTGCTGTGTCTCTATGAGCTGTCGGAGTGGTCTTACAACGTCATCTGTGATTGCTGATGCAATTGATCTGCAATGAGGTGGATGGGTTTAATATTTTGTCAGTCTATTATGCTTTATATCTATATGTTATCTATATTACTTTCTGGATGAATAAAATGCATAATACATCAAAAGGGACACCACAAAATGGGGAATATGGTGTGCAATTAAAGTCCCACTTACTTTAATCAACAAGGTCATCTAAAGATTTACCAATTAGCCAACAAATAATAAATCAAATAAGACAAATACCCCCCATCCTTTTCCTTCCTTCCTCTCCCCACACCTTCCTCCACCTCCCTTCGCTCCCTCCCCTCCCTCACTTTCCTCTCATCTCCCTCCTTCTTCCCCTTCCCTCCCTCTCCCCTCAACTCCTCCACAAACTTACTTGTGTAGATCTCCCTCCTGTTCGAGCTCAGCCCCCACCATCTGCCAGGCCTGGTTGACGGTGCCCATGCTCTCCTTCGACGCCTTCAGGAGTTTGGCTGACAGCTTGTGCAGGCCCTTGGCGTAGTTGGCCTCCAGCTCCGCC